TGGTGGGACGGAAATTCTAGGGTGAGTTTCGAATACTCTCTTTAAAAGATAATAATGCGTTAATGGTTGTCAGTTTTAGGAACAAGACGCAGTGCTTCTCTCACCTCCTGGTTTTGTTGCTTCAAGTCCCTTTGCCTCAACGCTTCAAGCAGATGAGGTCTTCGCAGAACCGACTGACCGGGCGCAGTGCCTGAACATTCAGTGTATATGTCAGTTTGCAAGAGGTACGAATTTTGGCGACTTGGCAAATGTTTCCAAGAGAGCAGTCGAAGAAATGCGCATACTTTGCCCAGCTATCACGCTCAGAAACAGATTTTTTTTCACCGAACTTTCAGGAGAAAAATAATTTTGGACGGGCTCTCCGTTCGTTGCTTTTGGAGGCCCACAGTCTAAAGCTGTCATAGAGAGATGTGATGCTAAACTCGTGTGCAACATTGTTCAGTAACACCCACAGTTTCAGCGCTGAGCCTGCAAGGCGATGGTGTCAGCTTAGGCAAATCCGATGAATCCCATAGGTAGGGTACAGCATCGTTGTGTGAAACACATAAGGGGTCGTACTTTTTCTCTGGGAAGGGGGGTCGTATTTGGTCGTTGGGAGAGAGAGGGGGGTCGTATGTGCCTTTGAGAGAAATTTGTCGCGTTGGTTTTTTTTCCTTGGAAAGGAGGGGCGGTGGGCGTATTTTGGTCGTTGGAGAGAGGGGGTCGTACATGCCTTTGAGCGAAATTTGTCGCGTTGCACGTCAGGTTGCTGACTTTTTGCGGATTTTTCCCGTTTCACGTGCACTGTATGTTCCCCCCCCCCCCCGCTCGGCAGCAAATTTCAGAAATAGGGAAACTTTTCTGGAATTCGAAAAAGAGGGTAGGAAGTTGGGGAGATTTTCCAGTTTCACACCGGAAAATTCTTGGGTGAAAAACTAGACTGCAAAATGTGGGGAATTGGTTAGGTAGGTACTGATAAGGGAGAGGGTTGTACCACCACCACTTCACAAATCACGATGCTGTACCCTGCCCATAGGTAAGTATGCAAGTTGAAATGGAAAAGGAAATTTTTTGTGTAGAAAAGAGATTCAGAAAGGAGCAAAGAGGTTATAGATGAGTCATACGGAAGTGCGTCGGAGGCGATTTATCCCGAATAGCTCGCAGGCCGTATTTGGTCTAACCTGCAATGCAATCGTGCTTGAATGTACGGCATGCCTTAGCACAGTAGTTATCACCAGGGCACATCGTTTTTGGGGATTCGAGCCCATTTGGTCGCTGAGAGAGGGAATCGTATTCGGAATGGAGAAATTTTTTTGATAGTTGATTTATCTTGTTCCAGGGACGTTGTAAAGGGAGGGGGGTGTCAGATCGTTACTGGGAGAGGTGGGTGAATCGTATTTCCTCTGTGATCTTCTAAGAGAGGTCACTGACTTTTCGTGGTTTTCCCTGTCATGTATAATGTATACCCCCACCGCTCGACAGCAAAATTCTTGGGGAAAGCTAGGAAACATTCCGGGAAATTCCGGAGAAAGTGAAAGAAGTTGGGGAAAATCAAAGAAATGATAGATAGGGGGCCGTACTCGAGAGCTCGATGAGGAGAGAAACAGTGGGGTCGTACCGATCTCTTAAAAAAATAGGGGGGGGTGGGGAGTGGCTTTGGTTATCACAAGAGTGCTTGGGCGTGGGCAAAAGACAGCTCCCGAAAGGGATTCGAACCCGCATCTTCCGCTTTCTGTGCGGTTGGGTTCTACCGGGGACACTCTTACCCTCTCAGCGTAGTGGCTATTTGTGCCATTGCCTTCGAGCACCCACAAGTTCAACGTGATGGGCCGGTTAGCAGTTCGAACCAGCATCTTTCGCTCTCCATGCGGCTGCGCTCCCTATCCCGCCCGTGGTCTCGACTTTTGCCCATAACTCAGCATTCTTGTGATAACTTTCGGATCGCGCACTGCGGCGTTAAACAGCAGTTATCAAACAATAACAGCTTAAAACTTGTAGACAGTATTGTTGAAACATGGGAGAGAAGTTGTAATGTCCCTAATAGGAGCCCTCTGACCTCAAATTGTGGTACGAGTTCAAGACGAAGTGACCGGGTGGGGAGGTTTCTTAATCTTGACCCCTATGGCCTCAGTAGTGACAGTAGGGCTTTGATGCTTTGAGCTTCCTTTGATGCTACTCGTCCGCTATCAGCGTTTTTTTTTTGCTGGAAGGTGGAATCAAAGGCGGAGCTCAGAGGTGGGGTCACTACGAAAAAGGAGATGCCACTGGAGCAGCTTCACGCCTTGTCGCCTTTACGTCAAGACTTTCCGCCGTGAAAATGATACAAGGTTGTCCAATGTGGACCACGCTACCTTTCCCCCCATACTCCTACATTCACTGGCAGTAACGGACCGTTCCTTCCTTCGAAAGCAAAACCCACGACAGCGGAGCGTGAGCAGTTAAATTTGGAATTGATACTATAGTCGTTTTACAAAACTACTGGAAGAGCAGATGACAAAAGGAGTCATCGCATTTGTTTCAGTTCGGAACCATAACTTGCTCGCCAGCGATATTTATGCAAGCTAAATGCGGCCTAGGTGGGCCTCACAGGCAAATGTATGGAGTGGCCAGCTTTTCTGAACTGCAGAGAGGATAGTTGAGGCAAAAGCCAGAGTTTAGCGGTGAAGTGCATCATGATCGGACCAGAGATGATCGCCAGGGTGAAGGGGCCATTTAAAGGTAGGGTCCGCGATCAGGTATAGCAGTTACAAATATGGCGTCTGGAGGATAGTGCGGCTCGCAAAAAACAACCTTGTGCCTGTTTGACGAGAAAAAATTGTAAGAGAGGGGCGGTTTAGTGCAATATGAATTCAGTGACCCTCCCTTTTCTCAGTGACTCCGCCCCAGACTCTGTCTTCAAAGCCTGCCTTTCAGTGAAAAACTAAGCTGCCGGACGGAACAGCATGAAAATAGTCACTTGTACGTTCATAGAGTTCTTAAGGGGAAACCAGCTGTGCGGATGAGCGCGTAGTGCTGGAGTTGGAATGCACTGGGCACGCACGAACTATAGGACCAAAATGGGGTCCTATCCAGAGCAGTTCGCATACTTTTTCTGTTTTTCCCCTCACTATCGACTTACTCACCACCTTGTCGTCTATATGCGAACCCTAATCAACTATCTGTGATAACGAGCAATTGCGGGGTTTCTTTTTAAGGCTAAAAGTAGCGTCCAGACGCAATGGACGCTTTGGACGCTGGTAACTCGGTACATTGAGGTTGGCTATCTATGTCTAACGCGAGTGAACAGTTTGTTCAGGGAGGTAGGTGGAGTGTTCCTTGTCGGCTCTTGGACAAACTTGCCATAGAGCTAGGTTCCCTGGACGTGGTCAGAGAGTCTTTCCTTGATTGTTCGCTTGGTATCTCCAGTAGAATTTTGCACTTCAATGCAAACTGTGTATGTATAGAGTACATGTGAAAGCAAACTAGGTAGAAAAGCTCAGCAAAAGCTACACGTGAGTGACACAAAACCGACTCATGAAGTTGAAACCAGAACAGTGCAGCTTGTGACATCGTCAGAAATCGCAGGCAAGAAACTAGTATAATGCATAGTGACGTGTGAAATACGTATTAGGTAGTACTCAAGTGGTGCAGGCTCCACAGACAACATCTGGGACTCTCCAGAATCTGGGACAGAGCACCAAGAATGGTCCAGAGTAAAGCTAGGGTCTGCCCAGGGCAAGAGGATTTTGGCTGTCGAGAGCATCATTCTAAGCGGCGAGGCGAGTTAGACTGCCGTAATTTGTCGCGCCCTCGCGCGCCAGGTTCTCTGTGCGCATTACCTAGTCGATGAAGCAGTGAATTTCGTGCGAATCCAAGCAATTACAAGACTCAATGATGAAGATATCGAAGTTACGGGAGACGGGAAAGAGAATCGTAATTTGCCGCTCCGCCGCGCACCGAACTTAATGTACACCCGCCATTGTAGACATTCGTGACCATTTTCGGTTCTGAATTGTCTGTTGTCGCCATCCACTACCTATAACCATCGTCATTTGCGCGACGCGACGGCGCGGCGAATTACGATTCTCTTGTCACATACCACCGACATACCACACATGCCCTTGAAGTGGCAGTATAGATGAGCTCTAACTTCTTATCATAGCGCTAAAGGCTTTATCCTTATTTTTGTAACGTGCTCTGGTCGTGTGAGAGGTCAGAACTCATTCTAGGTAGGTACTCGAATAACCAATGTGTACTGCCAAATGGTCAAGTGTACGGTAGAGCTTATCGCAAGGAATTTCGAGTGATGACTGACGACGAACGGTCCAGGTTTGTCACGGTTTTCGAATGTTTGCAATATCTACACCCACAGCATCTCTAGAGAAGGAACCAAGGTACCTGTCAAGCTGGTACGCAATAGACCGCCCAAGTTGTCCTCACAATGTGCAAGCTTCTGTTTCACAGCCTAAAAAAACGCTAGATCAAGGGAATACAAGAGAATTAGCAGGATTAGTGGAGGGTCAATTCCGTGCAGTCATGAAGCTCTCTCACAAACCTTGGCCTTGAGACATAGTGGGCGTTTGAAGATGGCGCACGGGTTACTCGTGGAATAAATACTTCAGTTAGAAACAAGTGCCAACTTGTTCTATATTGGACAGAGGCACGCCCACAATCGTGTCAGGATGAAAATATCTCTCCAGAAGCACGGCCAGCGCCACGGATGGTTGAAATGCGCAGCCACACCTACCTTATCTCAGGGATTCCGAATGAAAGTATCGCGAGAATACTATGCTCCCGCAACTTGCACTAAAGGAGATCTTCGACGGAGTTGAGAGAGACAGAGAGAGAGAGAGAGAGAGAGAGAGAGAGAGAGAGAGAGAGAGAGAAGCTTCCGTTGAATCCTGAGCAGCTAGCAACTCGATGTTCTGCAGCTATAGTGACCTCTACAGTTACTTTATGAAGAGGACCCCTCAAATGCATAAGAAAATCACAATCGACATAAGGAGAGTGTCGAGGGTGACAACTCCCCCACCCCCAGAATTTTCCCCATAGTCATGACTATGAGCAGACACTTCCTCGCACTCAGGACCATCTGTTTATGTGTTCAAAACCATAAGTTTATTCCTATGTGAAACTTTCGGTATATTTCAGAAACCACTTCTTTTCAGATTCCGTAATGCGATGTGGGGCATTCAAAGAACCAAATATCTGGAGTTGTCGAGACTGCATTCCAGCTATACGACATCACCAGCTGCCCACTCTGGACCGGCATTCCTGCCATGGCATAGAGAATTCATTAAGAGGTACGCATTTGAGTTCTGTGTCACTCTCTTTTCCCTTTTCAACAAGTTGGTTTCCTATAAACAATAAGAAGAAGCGCAGTCATCAGGGCACATTCCACGATGGACAGGTGGGCGTTGAAATGAGTGGAGACTCGCAATCATTGCGCCCACGCCACTGGCGCGCTACACCTTCAAAATGTTGAAGGGAATCTGCCTTTAAGGATTTTCCCAGTAAGCGGTGAAAGACTGGTTTCATTGTTACCTAAAGTGAAAGAAGGAAGACTCCAGGGGAAGCGAGTCAGACAAAATAGGGGAAAGGATAAGCGTCTGCAAAGTAGCAAGCTGTAGAATGGCAACTGCGGGCGAAATCAGGGCTCACCACCCATAGAGTAAACGCAACAGAAACCCGTATTTTGCCATGAGAAAAAAATTTCCAATTGTTCATTTCTCCCGTTTCGCGCACGTCATATATTTCTTACTCAGCATAGCCAAAATCCAGTATTCCTGAGAGATGTTTCTCCCCGGATGTGACAAGACAATCGCAATGTGCCGCACTGGTGGGCGCGGAGAGCGACGCCGCCTCCAACGTACGAGTTGTCTTGCTTGGCCGGTCGAATATAAGTGATACAGAGGAAGGTTAAGTATCAACCGTCTTGTCCTTACTTGAATCCCCATGAGCTTCGCTGCTGGACTGACCGAGCGAGAACTTGCCGCGACTGCCTCACGATACGCCGCGCGCGACAACGCGACAAATCTATTGTCTTGTCTGTGTCCCATTTACCCCCGCGCCCTCCTCGCTTAATGCCAAAACTTAGGGAAAGTTGGGACGGTGATGAATAGTATAAGAAGTGGGATCCTCCCAGAGGAGGACTTCTGGGGAAGGGAGTCATGTGTTGCAAAAATTCCCACGTTGTTATGGAATACCCTGATCCGGACCTTTTGGCATTTTATCGACGTGGTGCGAGCTACTTATAAGGGCAAGTGGGCAAACAGGAAAGACCTCTGCAAACGGTGCATTTACTGATTATCAAATAAGAATAAACAAAGTAGGAAATTAAAAAATTGAAACGGAATGTGAAAATATGCAGGTTGGAAATCGCTCTGCGACAATACGACCCTACAGTATCGCTACCGTACTGGGATTCCTCTCTGGATGCAAGGCTGGACGATCCAACAGGTGAGTCCCCTGGCATGAACTTTTACTTGGAGAACTTTAATAATCGCACAATAACTATTCGTCGAAACTGCTGCACTGCTTAAAGGCAGCGCCCGCGTCATTTCATGTTTCTACGCCCTCCTTAGATATCGTAGCTTTGTCGACAAGGGTGGAGGATGTACTAATTTCGCAGCTCAAAAATACGAGAGGATGGCGCCACCCGCTTGTGAAGAGGATGCCGCCCCGCCCACCTGGCTGCCATAACTGCTTTGGCTTAGCCTTTAAAGGCTGAGCCCGCTTTCAAGAATAATGAGTTATGGAGCTCATATAATACGTGATCCAGTAGTGAAGAAAAAGCAGAAAATGCCCTATATAGAACCCTATGCTGGCTAGGTGGGCGGGGCTGCCGACTCTCCACTAGCAAGTTCTCTCCCTTTTAGAATACAAAACTGGTACTACTGCCATCCTCATAAGGAGGCTATGATATCCAGAGAGGGCGCGGGAACATCAAATGAACGTGGGCGCGGCCTCTGAACATGCAATATTTTAGCATCTGTCCTGTGGGACAATGAGCTTATGGGTCAACGGCACCTTCTTCTGGCAGCATTGAACATGTTTGTTCGCCTCTGCAGGCTCATCTGTAAGTTCCCTGACTTTGCCTTGTCAGAGGAGTATCGAGGATATCAAGCGAACGTGAGAGCGCCTCTATACGCAGAAGATCCGATTCGCGCGATCCAACACTCGAGGCGATTCGTTCACGCGATCCAGGCGCTCTGACCCAGAATTGTGGAAACTAAAGAAACAAAACGCGCGCATTCTAATTGTGACAGTGCCGTTCAGTTACAAATTCATAGTAGGTAAATGACTCTCCGGGGAAGAAAAAAGCTAAAAATATTGTGGGGAACACCCTAAGTAAGGTCCTAGCAGCCACTCTGTATAACTTCTCCGAGCTCTATTTTCTTTATGGCCAGTGAAAAGGTATCTTGCTGTCTCTGGTTCACTAATCGCTTCTTCTCGTCATCCAATCCTGAGATCATCTACCAGTGAGAGGAGAACTGCAAGAGCGAATTCGTGACAGAAAACAGCCATAGAGTCTCGGGTGGCGAGCAACTAGGAGGCTTTGGAACCGCCACTATGAGGGCCACAGCACCTTCCGTTTCCTTTCTGTACGGCGCCAAAACAAGTTAACAATCTGAGAGAATAAGCGACCAGGCCACTATGTACCTAAGTAGGGCGCGTGTGCGTGTGTGAGTAGTGTTGCGCTGGCGCGGGAGAGAGCCAACACAGCTACCTCTGTATGTCTTGCGAGAATGTCGACACTGACTAGAACGGCGAAGAGGAGGGTCATGAGCCACGGAAGGCTTATGTTTGGTCGGCGCTCTGCCACAACCATTCCGTCTGGTTCAAAACTGAATTTACCTATATCGAGCGAGGTTTTCTTCGGTTGAACCGTTTAGTAGTGGCCCAAAGGGTCAACATAAGCTAAAAAAAAGTACGTCGAAAATCACACGCCCATCTATAGCCTAGCGCTGAACTTGTCAGCGCCTTTCACTTCTGGTTGTTCTCGACGGCTGAGCACGTATTGCGCTGCAGAACCTTGGAACGCAAGTGCTGCACCGTTGAGGATAGCGAGGGCGGGGTATGGAAACTCGGGTACCAACCCCTTAAGCCCCGTTCCCGTGGAATTTTGAGCGGGGAAAGTGTTACCCTACCGCAGCTGCGGACCTATTTGCCTTGCACATGCCAAGGAACGTTCTCGAAGGTGAGTGTAGAGTTGTCTTGATGCCACTCTTTTCACTTGAAATGCCCGCTTCCACACTAGATTTCACTTTGGGCTAAGTTGGTACCCCGAGGGAACAAGGAAGGCTATTCTGAACTGGAACTGAAGTTCTTACCTGTGTCTAAAGATCGAGCGTTCACTTAGCTGTTTAGGGACGTACCACTCAGCGCTTCCTCGGACAATCACCGAACTCTCGTCTGAGCACTCAGCAGTCGTTTGCTACTATACTTCAGCAGACACAGACAACGCAAGTGTTGGCGTACAGTGCTGCATCGGTGGGTTTGGTTGCTTGTTCATTTTATTCCATCTAAGTGTGTACTTCTGAAGTTACACAAGATAGAATTGTTTGGACAAAATAACTATTTTATAAATACAACTAATAGTAAGATATTATTATAAATATCTCTAGTTGTTTAGCCTCACAAGGTGTAATGGAACTTTTTCTTGTTTTGTGTAAACACGATCTGAGCTCGGCTGCATGATCGCCCGCTATCTGAACGCTTTCTGAAAGGCATGTGGGGGACGGGAGTAGTACGAGGAATTCGAGGTGCGGGATGACAACTGGAACTTTTCGTGGTAGTCCCAGCGCGAAAAGTCAGAGCGCGGGGAAAATAGAGAGCTTAAGCTGCCAAGGCATAGAATCATGGCAAGTCAGGGGATAGGCTTTTTTAGAAGAGGGAGGGAGAATCCGCAGCGGATGAGGCACTTATCACGTGTGAAATGCTGGATGTGTAGGGTCACCGTGGTCCAGAGAAAAACAGAAACTTGACGCGATTAATGGAATTACGTTCAATAACCCGTTGTAATTGAGTTCAAGTTGTCCGTGTGCACGAGGGAAAATACTCCCCAGCAAACCTCTACTATCTGCCGTTATCTGTACTGATGCCCCCGCCTCCTTAGGCAGCGTTCAGACTTCGCGACGGCAGCGCTTCGGTCGCGCGATTCGACGATCGATGCGCATGCTTTCGACTGCATCGATCGCGTCGAACGCGCGACCGAAGCGCTGCCGTCGCGAAGTCTGAACGCTGCCTTACTCTCGCCGCTCTTCATCCATAC